CGTCAAAACACTCACGTGTGCGGCGGATTTCCGTTTTTCCGTCATTCTCGTGAATTGTTTGTGAAAAGTTTCTCGTAACTTTGACTATTATTTTGCACACTAAATACGAATTTCAACAACTAAACAAGATTGCACACGTGCACATGTGCTCAGTAGTCGTGGCTACGCTGACGACTACCTTTTCCTTGAAGTTGTGTGGCAGTGTTCTGGCACCAGTGAGTCTCCGCACAAGAAAATCCTTCCAGTCCGAGTATTTGTGCTGGACGTCTACACACAAACACAAACACAAACACAAACGTTGTAATAGATCTCATGTGAGCGAGTAGAATTTCACTGCTGTCATTTCAAAATTCGACATACGGAAAAGTTTCAGGCAACATAATACTCTACTACATAATACTCTAATACTCTACTACATCCATTAATGATAACCAACTATAATAGAAACCAACTCTCTACAAAACCTGAGCATCTTATCAAATAATTACACTTGAGGTTTAAATTTGTATTTCACTAGGTTATCACGCAGAGAATCATAGAATCAAGCTTTAGTATTCCTACCAGGTATTAACCACCTGCAATTCAGCCTATATTTGAACTAAAAAATGTCTACAATTTCCTAGAATCACACCATGTATTAACAGGGCCTCCTTGTCAGAAACAAAATTAGTCATAACATTAGTCTTAACATTAACTCTCTTTCTCGCAGACCATTGACAGAAACATCGTAAAATTACAAGTTTCTCACACGCAGTGTATAGAGGTCCGATCTTCGAGAAAAAGTCAACATTAACCCTAATGTTAAGATCGATTTTGCTTCTGACAGCAGCCCCTAGGATAATAATTATGGTAATTTGGTAATACCTTTAGGGGGCACTAGAGGCTTGCCCTGGGCGGCACACCAGCCAACCGGATGAACATCTGTCGTGCACAGATTCAACCAGAAGTCAGCTGAAGCATTCATGCCAAAGCCTTCGTACCGCAGCATGGCCTTGTATCCTGAAACACACACATCGCGTTCATTTTGGAGCTCGAGTCACAAGAGACTCGATGACAAGCAGCAGCGACGAAACACGACATACACAACTCATAACACTCCTATATCCAGAATATACGCATACAAAAGCTACTCTAATGGATGGTTATTAAGATTACATCAGGGGTAAATAATGACAATGTGCCATTATTCACCCCTGATTGCGTGTATGCATCATGTACATATGTGCGATGTTCATGTCACGGGCTACCCATGCGACAGCCATTTTCCCCATCTTTTCCCAACTTCCTCCAAAGACTCCCATTCTCGATCAAGGGTTGTCTACGCAACACCCCAACAAAGGACCGGGCTTCTCGGACAGACCTTCCACGGGGCTAGCTGGATGCACGAGAGCGAGAGAGGCGGATGCACCTGCTATCTTCATGACGGTGGCGATCCAGTAAGCGTCGGTCGTCATGTCGCAGTCGCTGTTCTCCACTTCGACCTTCATGCCGACGGTCATGCTGTTCCACACTTCACTCATCGCCACCTACAGAGATGCCAACACGTATTTGAAGCAATCTGTAGTTTCTGGCCATCAAATCAGTAGTTCGAGGGTCACGCTATGACCGCGCTTTCGCTAAGGGGGGTCGCGACATGCCCGGATAATTTTTGTGAAATTTTGGAGGTGCAATTTCCTGCATCTGAGGGTCAAAAATGACAATAACATGACAAAAATGACAAATAATTGTTAAACCTTTTGGTTCTTTTTTTCCGATCACAGTGAAATTCGGTACGTTGTGATAAAAACCTCGGTCGTAGTGTGCCAAGAATAGAAATTCCGTATAAAATACGAATAAATACCGTAATGGTTGCATTCTTGCAGTCTCGCACGTACCCACCCGCGCGAGAAACGGCATGGAGAAAGACGGAGAGAATGAGGTACGCGCCGTACGAGATGCGTGTGGCGTACTGGCGCTGATCGCGGAGGCTGAATATCAATCAAATCATCGAAACTGACGAAAGACATCGAAGAATGCGGTAGAGACGTGTAGCGTAGTGCTGATGTGGTCAGGGATTCGTCGTTTCGTGGGCAGAATGAATGGAGAAGACGTGGAAGAAAATTAGTACTGAATGAGGTAGAGACAAAAGGGAAATAACAGACGAGAAAAATTACGTAAGAAACGTCAGGTACACCTACGTACTGGACGTCCCAGAAGGGGAGTTCATGCGGAACGAACGGAGAAGAAACAGAGATGTGCTACGGTCGGACCGTATGAGATGTGGGCAAAGTGTCTGAGGACACACGGAGTGGAGTCCGTCGTTTCGTGGAAACGAAGCCGAGAAGAACAGACAACGGAGGTACGGAGCACTTATGAGATGTTGGCAGCGCGCATGCTAACGCGGACGGGAGTTATGCGGAATTGAAATCGGAGAGAGATGCATAAATTAGGTATGTGTTGTTCGAGACGTGGGTGTCAATTGGATTGAAAATGAGGACTGTGCTATAGAGAACGCCAGGGGTCGAGTATACGTTTTTAAGCACGAGACGAACACTGCGGCAGCAATGACTCGTTGCCACCCTCGTGAATGAAAACGAGACCGTGTCTACCTGCTCACAGGAGAGGAACCGCCTGTATATAGAAGGCCGCTCTCTAGAAAGACACCTGTATATAAAGGACACCTCCTCCATAGAACCAGACCACAACTGTTATAACTAGAGGAACCTCTGCTATAAATAAGGAGCCACCTGTAATATAAGAGGTCAGCTCTATAGAACAGCACCTGTATATAGAAGGACACCTCTATCAGACACGAAACACCTTATATAAAGACACCTCTATAGAACAGACACCTGTATATAAAGGACACCTGTATAGAAACAGACACCTGTATATAGAAGGAGCACCTCTATAGAAACAGCCACCTGTATATAAAGGACACCTCTAATAGAACAGACACATGTATATTAAGACTCCGTCTAATAGAACAGACAGCCTGCTATAGAACAGACACGCGTATATAAAGGACACCTCTATAAACAACACCTCTATAGAAGCAGACACCTGTATATAAGGAACGCTCTATAGAACAGACACCATGTATATACAGGACACCTCCTAATAGAACAGACACCTGTATTATAAAGGACACCTCTATAGAACAGACACCTGTATATAAAGGACAACCTCTATAGAAACGAAACACCTGTATATACAGGACATCTCTCTAAACAGACACTGTATACCTACACCACCTCCCGTATAGAACAGACCCCTGTATATGACAGGACCACTTCTAAATAACGAAAACGGAACACCGCCTGTTATAAAAGGCCCGCGCCTCACCTCTATACCAAACAGACACCTGTAATAAAGGCACACACGCTCTAGTAGCACACCGCAAACCCGTGATAAAAGGAATCGTCATAGAACGAGACACGCTGTTATGAGTAAAGGACCTTCCTCTATAGAACGAGACACTCTGATATACTAGAGAGACACAATCTCTAAATACGCAACAAGAGACACCTGCGTTATTAACGAACACCCACTCGATAGAAAGACACCTGTATATAAAGGACCAGAACGAAGGGCAGACAGACATGGTAAGTACTTGCGGCAAAAGAAGGCCGGCAACCACCAGCCGGCGCAGGGACCCCGGGAACGC